GGGGAAAAGGGGGGAGAATGAAGTTTTGATATCTTCTGAGGGTTTAATTTTGAGAGATATTGGCAGTTGAAGGACGTGGACAGCTGAGTCAGGACTCAGGAGTCTGTTACTTAGTTTTTTATTAAGTGATTCCAGATTCCAACATGGGCATGGGTTAGCTCTGTTCCAGTTCTGTGCAGTTTGCCAATCTCTTCTGCACTCCACCATATACAACAAAGGGTGACCCTAGCAGGCCAGTGAGAGCAATATGATGATCTTGCATTCTTTTTTTTTTCTTCAAAAAAAAAAATATATATATATATATGGGTGACCCTAGCAGGCCAGTTAGAGCAATATGATGATCTGGCATTCTTTTTTTTTCGAATTTTTTCTTAAGAAAAAGAAAAAATCTGAACCGTCAAAAGAGCAAAAAAGTGCCTACTGGATGCTGCCAGCAAATTTTTATCCGGCAGCCTGCGCTGCAACTTTATGGCTGGTTAAACCACCAGTATGTTTCCTAAAGTCGTGCCCCCGTGAACAAGCACCGATTTTAGGAAATGTGCAGGCCACTACAGGAGCGCCCAGATTCATCAGACTAGAAATGTTTTTCCTCCATTCTTTTCCCGCGGCCAATAGCTGGGCAAAGCACTGGTGGTTTAAACCACCAGTACATGGCCCATACATCGGCCGTGGGCCCTTTTATTGCTAACGGACCGGGCTTCGGGGTTACCGCACCAGAACTTTTTTTTTTTTTTTTTTTTTTGGGGGGGGGAAGGGCGGGGGGAAGTAAAAAAACGCAAGAATTCCATGATCCGATGCAACGGTAGAGGCCGTGAATCCTCACAAACAACCCGGAAAAAGGCTGGGAGACATCAGCGAGTATCTGTGGGGGTCGATGGCCCGAGGACCCTGTCCTAGTCCTGACAAATTTGAATAACAGAGCCTTCTGCTGACAAAGAAAGACTACAATGGGGGTCGATGACCCAAGGACCACCACAATGGCTGGCGGTGCCAGACAACGGAAAAAAAAAGAAGTCTTCGCCCTGGCGCTGCGCATTAAGTTGCATTGAATGGAGGTCGGGAAAGGAAAGTACCGGTCCGTCACTGTAGCAGCCTGCACGACTGCTGGTTTAGCACCAAGAAAAAGAAAAAAAGAAAGGCAAGCAACAAAGTAAACATTCATGTCGTGTCGTACTTTGTTCCAAAAATAAGAAAAAATGAAAACAAAAAGAAAACTGAAGAGAGAGAGAGAGAGAGAGAGAGAGAGAGAGAGAGAGAGAGAGAGAGAGAGAGAGGGGCTCGTTCGACACTCCTCGGGCGCGTAAAGTCCCTGAGGAATTCTTCGTTCCACCTATCCTTGGGGATGCAGTCGGCAAAAAAAAAGCGAAAACACTCCGAACTTCCGTCCGAAGGAAATTCCTCGGGCTCCGAGGATTCCCCAGCCATTTCTTCCTTTTGCCCAAGGGACCTCACGAGGTCCCTTGGGCAAAAGGAATCCCCGTTTCACGGAGAGGAGCGGGCACATGGATAGAGAGACGTTACAACCGAGAATCTGGATCGTGGCCGCACCCTATTGGCTGAAGGCCTCAAACACATTTGATTTTTTTTTTCTTTTCTTTTTTCTTGTCTGACATGGTTCGAAGGAAATGTCCTCGGGCGACGTCCCCTAGGACAGGTGGAAAGATGGCGGGAATTTCCTTGAAAAACCCCAAGGAAACTTCCTTCAGCCCCGAGGACGCCCCAAGGAGTGTCGAACGAGCCCCAGAGTGCTAATGTGAAAGCATCTTACGGACTTCTAGCGGTAGATACATTTGGGATTCGATTTGCAAGGATCAGTGGGCACGGATGTGTGTGTGTGTGGGGACGGGCGGGGCCAGGGGGGGGGCGAGAGAGCCGGCGAGTTTGCCGCCCCACTCCGTGAAGGTGCCGGCTCTCTCTCTCTCTCTCTCTCTCTCTCTCTCTCTCTCTCTCTCTCTCTCTCTCTCTCTCTCCCCACTTGTGCCATAAAAATTGCCTGTTTTTGTAAATTTTGGTGCATTATTTTTTGTTTTACAATTTATTTTTTCTTTTGTCTGTCTATTTTCACACAATATTCTCGCTGTTTCTTTTCTTTTCTTTTCTCTCAATTCTTGTTGTTTTTCAGTAGCACCAGCCTTGGGTGTGCAATGCCCGGTAGCACCGGCCTCGGCAAGGATCGGGGTACCGGTCCTCCGAGGCTCGGATTGCGTAGCTGGGGGAGGTACTGGTAGTTCAAGTGAAACATGCCGAAAAACAGGGTAGTGGGAGGTAATTCCGACCGCACCCAATCACGGCACAGAAAATAAATAAAGAATAAATAAATTTTAAATATGACCTGATTAGGGCATCACACTACCGTCTTCCCCCGAACACAACGACCCCTCATTCTGACTGTATCTGGCCGGAAACATACCTTGTATACTTTCCTTTTCAGGGTGCGTTATGTTCGGGGGAATACAGTAGTAGCCAGGCCTTCACTTAGGGGCTGAGGGGAGCGCTGTCCCGCAGCAATGCCCGTGATCGGGCAGCGCTTGCCGCTGTACCCAATCACGGCATGCCAAAGAAAACAGCCCAGAAGTAGGGTAGCTGGGCAGCGTGCTGGTGGTTTAAGAAAAAGCT